CGGTACTCATTTTTAAGTTAAAAGTAAAATATTTTCTGCTGCAAAACTGTTTCTAAAAATTAGAGACTATTCTGATTATCAAAAAGAAAAATAATGTTCATTTAAAAAAACAGTGATTTACAATGAATTAGTTTACGTTTGAATTGTATATTTTTTTTAAAAGACTTAATATGCTTATAACAAATCATTTACTTGAGCGTCCGTGTAAGTGACTCCCATCTCGATCAGGTTTTTGTCCAGTTTTTCGCCGTTTTAGAGAAAATCTTGTTTTTGTAATTTTTTAAAATTGCATAAAGGGCACGCAATATTACGCGAAAACTAAAATTTTCAAAAATTGTACATGGCCTTAATAAAATAACAAATTATTGAAAACAAAATTTTAAATAAAGGAAAAACCTCTATCTTTGATATTTAGTTGAAGGATGACGCGGAAAAAATTCAAATTTTGGCAAGTTTCAAAAATGTAGAGTTAATCGTGAAAATAGGACCTGCTCCACCTTTATAAGCTTAGTTTACTATATTATTACCAGAAATTTAAAGAAAAAAATTGGAGCCGTTTTTGAGAAAAATTTGAAAATGTACCAAGGGTTTCATATAAACTGCCCTCAAATTTTAAAGAATGGTTTTCAAAATCTCAAAGCTTCGACTCGAGCCAGAAAGACAGGGGTTTCTTCAATTTGGAAAACGTATGGTGTAGACGCTAGTACTGTTCATGGACGGACAGAGAGACAGACGGACATTAAAAAAAAGAAAAATACTTTTTCGGTATCAGAAGACCTCAAAAACTGTACTTTCGTGAAAATTTCGAAATAGATTTTCCGCAGCAATACATAAATTTCCTCTATACTACTAATATTATTACATATATACGTACATATTTTGGAGGGTATAAACTGTGTGTGATATTTGATAACTAGTGGTTCTGCAACAGCTCATACTTTCTGGCATTATTTCTAAATTCGCAGTTTCCAAAGCTTTGGAAATTAAGCAAAAATGCGTCATTCTTTTAAGCGAGCGTTGCTTGTTCTATTCGTGGAAAATTATTGCAGCGGTTTTTGATAAAATGTTTGTTGTAATTTGCATTAACTTCAAGTAACTGCATTGCCTTTCAGAAATTGGGTTAAACTTTTTTTTACAAAATTGTACAAGGAATTTTTTTAAGAGACGATTTTTTAGAACCAGCTTTCTTAATGACCAAAAAAGCTTATTTTCAAATTTTTAGTTTTGAATAATTAACTTTTTGCAATTTTCGAAAATTAGAAAGTTCCCCGACAATGGAACTAGCCCTATTTACCGTTCTTTTATTCATTCGAGGAGAAAATTTAAAGAAAAAAATTGGAGCTGTTTTTGAGAAAATATTTTAAAAATTGTCCGTATTTAATAAAGTTACGCAATATCTGCTCTGAACAAATTGTACCTGGCGTTATTTCAAAATCATAGTCTCTAAAGAACAGATTTCATTAAAGAAAAATCTCTCTCTTCAGCATAATAGTTGAAAGAAGACGCCGAATAAATTTTGAACTCTTGCTTCATTCGAAAATTCAGGGATATTAACAACAACGAGACCTGCACCATTCTCATAAGCGTCCGTTACAATATACGAGGACACAGTTTAATTTATAAATTTCAGTCCTTAAAAAAAAAATCTTCAGGCTTCATGAAAAGTACCCTTCCCTCCAAAAATAAATTAAAGTATCCCTTTGAAACTGAGAGTCTCGGGTACATTTCAATCGAAGAGAAAATATCAGTTTTGGAGAAAATCGGATTAACGGTTTAGACTCTCGCTTTGACCACAGATGGACAGACACACACGTATTGCTGGTATCAATAATACATATAACATGTATTCTAAGTACACAACGTTTTAGAGGATTTTTTTGGCGTAATAACAAGATTTATTCAATTTTTTGTTATCAGGGCCCGACAATAAGTTTTTCTGATGATAATTCAGTTTTCCGGCACACGATTACAACACTTTCTCTTCTTCCGAAGTAAGGGCTAAAAATTAAAAGGTTTCTATATACCAAAACAACCTTGCAAATAAACGCTACATGTATCATTATGTAATTTTTCTCGAGCACGTCAGTGTGAAATTAAACTTGGCATAAGGTGGGGAACTTTATGATAATTTTTAACCAAAATTCTCTGCAGTTATTGAAGATTCGTATGCTGACAATAAATCACTGTTTAGAAAAGGACGCAATAATTTAATACTGGTTTTAAATAATTTTTAAAAGATTCATTTTAAAACGTATAACAAAAGCCCTAATGTAAGAAACGAACAAAGAATTATGAAATAATATACAAATTCCAACGTACGTAGCATCAAACTGCCTGGCATTACTATTCATTTTACGTTCACGAAGTTCAGTAAATTCAGAGCGGGCGATGTATGACGTCAAATTACTCAAAAAATACACATATTTTCGAAACATTTAACACCACCCTACTTAAAGATCTTTTTTTGATTAACACATTACATTAAGAAAGAAGTGTATCTTCACAATTGTAGTTGCAGGAAGACGCCGAAAAAAATATGATTTTTTTCAATTTCTGAGAAATCATATTTTTAACGAACAGGAGATCTGCGCCAATCTCTTAAACGTCATTCACTCTATTCAATTAAAATTTAATAAAAAACGGTAGTGCAATTTTTTGAAAATATTTCAGGAGCTTCATGTAAAGTACTCCCCAAATTTAAAGATCGGATTCAAATTCCAGGGGCCATGACAGCCAGATAGATTGGGAAATATCAATTTCGGAGAAAATGGTTGAACGGTAGCCGTTACCGTTGCTCACTGAATCAGTTCACAGACAGACGGATAAACGTTTTCCCGTCAATCTATTTTTCGATATCAAAAACCACAAAACAAGGATTAAGGCTACATCACGTGATAGAGGATTTTTTTCTTAATTTTGCATGGGGTTATCCACTTATTCGTTGACAGGGCCTTGCAATAAGAGTTTTTTCTGCCGAAAATTCGCAGTTTTTTCGCGTAGCATTACATACTGGTTCTTTCTCTCTACAGAGTCGGTGATAGCGAGAAAGTATAAAGTGTAGTTAGTTACCCAAAGCAGGAAAAATCAACACAAAATCAGTAACAAAGAAACCTCACTTTAGGGTTTTAAAAACATATTTTGTTTGATAGAATATTTTGAAAGGATGTTTTTCTAATTAGAAGAGATTCCGCATTTTGAAAATTTTTGACACGTTTCACAAAACCATACAATGCAACTATTTATTTATTAAGACAAAATACAATTACTTCGCTCTTTAATAATAATATCACTAAATCCTACTGTTAATTAGATTATTATTATTAATATATAATTATCCATTTTAATATATTTTTATTTATATATTACGTTTCGATTATTTCTTTCAAAAACAGTTTTGTTAATTTGTCCTACTTTGCACTTATTTCGCCTTGCATTTAAATCAAATACTTATCCTGATCCTCCCCAGCATTTAAATCACATCCGCATTTTAGCGCGCTCCAACCGCATTTTCCTGATCGTGATGTGGCAACCCTGCGCCGCTCGTTAGAGCGGGTGAGGTTGGTGGCTCGACGTGCGGGCGCCGCGGCGCCGCTGCCAGCATCGATCTGTAGACTGTAACACCGCACCGCGCCCCCGCCCGGCAACCGATTGCAGGTTGCGTGGCCGCGCCCTAGGGGCCCGGGCCCTCCCGGGGCGTATGATTTACTTGCATTTGCTTTTTTTTATAAACTAATGCAAACTCAACAGAATACATTACGATAAATTGAAAATTGTAGGCACTTCATGGTGATTAGTCATTGCCATAAAAAATGAGACGGCGTCCCGTTTTCCTTAAAAAAAAAAAAAAATAGTGAACAGGAATTCAAAAAGAGAGACTGTCCGGCTAATAACAGACGTCTGGTCACTTTAGGATAGTTATAGGTACTTTCACTCTTTGAAATTTGCATTCTTTCATTTCAAACGAGACTGTGATTGACCATATTAAAATTATTTTCTCTGTTTCTGATATTACTGCTGTTGTACGCTATTTCATCCTTATTGAAGTTTGACACCCCATCCCACCCCATCCGGAAAAAAATTTCCGTCGACTCATGTCTTGGAACGGTGGATGTCACGGAGGGGGGCCCCCCTCGGCAGGTGTGGCCTCCTGGATACATGAAGCCCCAAGTTCGTGGGGCCCCCGTGGCAAAGAGGAGCTGCCCGGCACGGTGGCAGCGCTGCCTCCCATCCCTCCCTTTTACGCCTCATTTGGTTCACACTATTTGCCTGCCTCGTGAATCGTGCCGTACCCCTTCACTGCACTGTGCCGATTACAGGAGAATAATGTTTCATCGCCAATAGTCTAGCACGAATTTCGTTGTTTTATTAATGGCAGATATTTTGTTTCTACAGAATGTCAATATTTGTGAATGTTGTACATATTTATACGTTCATATAAAACAATTGTCAGTTTTCCTTTAAAAATTAATATCTGTTATATTATGAGATGTGATTTAGTATTTTCTACCGAAGAATATAACGTAATTGTAATCATGAAGTAAGTTTAATGATGAGCTTAAAATAATACTGACACATTATCCCAAATAACTACAACCCAACTCTCGTTCACATTTCCCCAAAGAACTAACTCTGTTATTATAGTGCCAAGATAATTATAACAAAGAAAATAATATTTTAAATGAATATGCTAACCTACTCACCAGAAGATATACAAGATATGTGTTAATTAGTATTTAGAAATGTAGTTTTTACAATAGACCTATACCTCAGTACGAATTCATGAGTTCTAGTTTGGGGTATTTGATAATTTGGTATTCTTAGTATTATTAAAATGCATGTTGAAAGATAAGTTAGAAGATAAGCCTCAACATCGACATGAGATATGACAAGTAGTATTAATTTGTTTAAAGATTGCCCTACACCTTCGCATATATACTTTTATAGTCTCCTCCGATCATTGGAATGAGCACAGAATGAAGGCGAGATGTGCCTGACTGCAGATGGCCAAGCTGCCTCCAGGCCGCCCAGCTGAGCGCCTGCAGAGCAAGGAGAATTTCTACCAGGACACGCAATCGCGCCTCTGCTACTCTGTCGGACTCTACCTCTCCGACATGCTCAACTACACGTGAGTGCTTTGAGGCTTGTAACCTTCGTATTTAATGGATAAATGTGACTTACACCTTTGTATCGCTCCCCGGCGGCGGGTTCAGGAGTCACAATTAGTTGATAATGCGAGAAGATCGTAGTTATTCTAAGAAACTCCCAGCAATGAACACAAACCAGGAGCCAAGGGGCACGTTTTCAGAGCCCTGGAACTAAAAGCAACACGTCAGCAATAGCTCTCTCCTGTTAGAGAGACACATCATAAGCTCGTTGGCTAGCGTTTCGATTATTTTATCGCAGTCTTTTTCAGGGCTACCCATATACCGCGGCTTCATAAGCAAGAAATTAGAATGTGCAGATTTCATGGTTCTTTAACTGAAATAGAACACTCACTGTAGGATTGAAGTTAGTCAAACGCTCTTTCCTCGTATTCTTTCTCTTTTCAATTTTATTTTCTCTTCTCCTTTATTTTTACTTTTTCTGTTTTTTCTTTTCTTTTTCTGTTTTCAATTCTCCTTGCCTTTTTTCTTCTAAATGTACCAATTATTATTGTCATAACTTAGAAGAATGATATTGGGCATAGCTATTACCAATTGTTACTGCAACACGAAAGCATGCAACAATTTTATCAAGCTAGTTGCCGTTCTTGACAATTGAGACACGTTAGCGATTCATTCGCTGTTCAATTCGCAAAATTCAACTGCCATTAGTAGATTCTGACTCCCATTTTTGTCGTCTGGGTGAATTGCAAAGTCGCTATTAAACGCTGATAAATCAGCCTAAGATTCGTTGTCGCACGAGCAGCCAAGAGCAATCACGTAACACCGGCCGCGGAATTGAGTAATATAAAATGAACAGTTTAATTTTTTCACGTATTAATTTACATACAGTCACATTTTCCAGTCACATTAGTATACATTTACGTATAGTCACATTTTCCCATGTGATTAATGCACAGCAACTCCCGTTTCGGATTAGACCTGAAGTCTCGAGGGGGTTCTGAAGTAATTTTCCGATTGTGGGGTAATATGGGAAATCTGAGGGTTATATGATCAATTAAATTAGTTGTAAAAAATATATGGAATTTATGACAGAAGTATTACGTAATGTGGTGCACATGATAGCAGTATTTATCTTTGGCTCATGCAGTTAATCCACACTACAGTATGGAAAATGGGTAGGGTAGCCAAACAAGCTAATTTAGCTCAAAGCTCAAATTAAAATAACTTTTATTCCGTTATTGTGAATTGAATGTCTAGTCAGGCTACGAAGGCTCATAGAAGACACATCTTTGCTAAGTAACAATAATTAATTATCTTAATGAAAAAAAACTAATATAAAAATATGTATTATTTCATACAAAATGTAATTAATAGTATAACTTAAAAATACACATTCATTATGACTTCATTTTTGTCCCCCCCATTCAAAATCTCAGGGGGACAGGCGAAGGCTTTCTTTTATTTTATCTTCTGCAAGTTTACAATCAATTCATTTGAACATTAATCAAGTGGTATAAAGTACAACAAAAAATTACAGAAATAAATCAATACTACGACACGTTTTATAAGTTTCATAAGTACAATGTTTTGTTGTTGTTTTCATTTCAATCTGTATACATGTTGCAAATTGGGTCCCAGTCCTAATTACGTTTTGTGGATATCCCGTGCGCAGCGTGGGGCTGGTGCCGTCGCCGGGCTGGGGCTACCGCAGCGCCAACGGCTCCTGCACCGGCATGATGGAGGAGCACCGCACGGGCCGCGTACAGATCGCGGTGTCCGCCTTCATCGTTCTGGAGCAGCGCATGGACATCATCGACTACACTGGCCCCACCTACAAGTACAAGTACGATCGCTCGCTTGAGCCGGCGCCCCAACCAACGCAGAGATTACTCAAGTCTTACACACAGGATTAAAAGCGCTTTAGTTTTTGCCATTTTGCATTTTTTGTCCCTGGAGAAACTCATATAATCATGTTTCCTACGTTCTGGAAATGTAATTGGTTCAATTTACAGATACTGGATCAAACAAATGCGACACCTAAATGTTATATCTTCATTGAACCCAGCGATTCGGATCATTTGCCTCCGTGACTGGAATTTGTGTAGCAATTAAAGATAAAAATTAAGAATTACTGTAAAACGATTTTATATTTTAAAATTTGCATAACCAACTTCAATGTTAAATCTACAAGTAAACACAATACGCAAGTGCGCCCTACAAGTAAGAAAAGATGTAGTATGTGCACAGGTATTTCTTTCGAAGGCAAGCAACAAATCTGACCTTTTGCATTCATGTTGGCGCATATTTGAGTCAAAAACAGCTCGGTTCTTCGCCGCTTACGGCCCATTTTCAGTTAAATTTCGCTACTCAAACTGCGCATCTCTCGCGACTCATGCGATGATATCGTTCCCACTACTAATAATCGATCGATAACAACATCGATGTTGACAATTAAAATATCGATTTAAATTCGTAATACAGCGACGATAAAACCATAAACTTTTTTAGACATCGATGTTTTAAAGCTGGTTTAGTAACCTCTAAATTCGTGCACAACAAAATTGAATTTGCAAGTGGCCGTGTTTATTAATTATAATTGATATTTAACTCAAAACAAAGTTAAAAGTAATAAAAACAAAGGACAAAACAACCTGAAAGCCTGACAGCTAAGAGCCATATCAAAGGGTTAGCCTTCATTTCAGAGAATGAGAGTTCGGAAGAAAGGGGCACGCCCTCTGCGTTCACAGATTATGCGTTGACCGCGTCTCCATGTGCGAAAGACAAGGGCACAGGGTCAACTCGGGCGTGAGATAGTTTGATCAATGAAGGTAGTGTAATTAGCGTTCGTTTGGTTTGAAAACACAAACTAAGTTACCATTAGTTATTATTTCATATTTTAACTTTTACATTATTGCTAATTTGGAAATTTTTCATTTACAAAAAAAATATCGAGCACAAAACATCGATGTAAAAAAAATATAGGCTGTCAATGTTTAAAACTTCAATGTTTCTACAAAAACATGGATGTTTTAAAAACATCGGTATCGATGTTGCATGCCTACCCTCTACGTGATCGAACTTGCATTTTACCCTTGGGAAATGAGGTTTTGAGATTATTCAGAGCATTATCTATATTACTAATTTAATTTCCAAAAAATAGAAAGAAAACTATGCAGCCTCTAGCCATGGTGGGTATGGTTCCGACAGATATCAAGGAACTGGGAAAAAACTAAAAAGAAAACAATTTTGGTTTTGATAGAAAAATACAAATTTTTGGTTCGGTTATTCCGCCTATCTTCATGCTGCGCTTACCAAGTGCATTCTCATATTTTCAATGTAAATTGATTTATTCATGAAACAATATGTACATTATATGAAAGATGGGTCCATATTAGTCAAACATCTTATTATGAAGTTAATGGATCGATCATCAATTATTCAGGATGGCGAGAGCGATGAGAACCGCTTTGGCTCATTGGCAATTAAAATGACTCTCGCCTTTCCGCCTCACTTCACCTTTCCTGTACAGTCTGAAACAATTCAGAACTTCTACTACACTGCACACATGCAACCCAGGCACACGTGTGTGCCTGAAAATAACGTTCAGGATTTGTGTTACCCTTACAATGCAATTTTAGTGCCTCGCGTGTCGCCACCCCCTCCTTTCCGAGGTTGGAGGTCGTCAACTGTCTAGTTAGTTTCGATTGCCGTTGCTTGGGACTGACCCGAACTACGCAGCACAGTCCAGTGCTCCCGCGGAGTGCGTTTCGCCCACACTTTCTTGCTGTGTGGTCGTTCCCAGGCCTGTGGGCATATATGGCTGATACGAACGTAAGACACATACAAGACGTCACACAAAAAGACGACAGAAAATATAGCCATTTGGAGTGCTTGTGCCGCAATTCTTTTAGTGGCACTCAGCCCCGATTTGCTGTTCGGGCTTATCTAGGGTTACCATATTTCCATTGTGGAAAGAGAGGACATTTCTTACAAAAAGAGGATACTGCATATAAAATGTTTTGATATAATAATTTATTTTTCGTAAAGATTTAATACTACATAACATAATCTATAACCAGCACCAGCATACAATGCGTTGTATCCGAGTACGTATTATTACAACACAATATGCAATATGTTGAACCAGTTGATGGCAACACTCGCATTTCATGTCGTAAATGACGCAAGTGTAGATGTAGTTCATCTTTGTATTTTCGCTGTTAGGTAAGAACGTTGAAGTTAAATTTTATTACTTATACAACAATTAAATGTTATGATGTCGGTTTTCAACTCAAAAAGTTGAAAAAGGTGCAATATCCTTCGTACTCGTACATCACACGCCTAGGAAGTTGCATTTAAAAGTAAAACCCCATAAAAAAAGAAGACATTCAGACCTTTCTTTTAAAATTCACCCGGACAGGTTTTCTTACTACTTACACGATGAGAAATAAGAACCTTACCTGCACCATATTTATCGATGCAAATAGTTTCTCGTACACGGGAGCGACTACTTCCTAATAGATTTCTAAAAATATCTGTTGTTATCTTTATTCAGAAAAAGAAGAAGAGGTAGGGGTTTTGGGACTCAGGGAACCGCTCACAAATTGTACGTCTCTTCCATCGTCACATAGTATTTTTACTTTAAATAAGTAGAAAAAACTTTACAATAGCGAGCCCTTATGAGATATTAATAAAGTTCCGAAACGTCGGCAAAATAAATGAATATGTTTATTGACCATCTCCTCTTGAAGAATTCCAACAGAATTTTTACTTAATAACCTACTAATTGTCCAAACTCATTTTCCCCCTCTGTGAATGCAACTGAATGATATCTAGAACAGACAACGAGTCATTCCTTACTCTCCTGGATATGATGGTGACAAAACAATCATTAATCAGGATTTAGTGTATATTTTTCTAGATAAGTATTAATTATATATTTAAAATATTATACAGATATATTATATTTAATATTTCTGTATTCCATTTCACAAGAAAAAAGGAACCATATCAAATTATTTACCAAAAAAAGGACATGATTAAGGAGAATGTTAATATTCCTATTTAGTTGGTAATTAATTAAATTACAACATTGAAATTTTAAAAAAAGTTGAAATTTATTTATTACAGCATGATTGATTTTATACTAAAATAAATACAATTACACTCACGAGCATGACTGAGCTGAGTTATTGGAGGGGGTGTCAGGGGAGTAACCTCTTACTTTAAATTAATGATCATGTTATTATGGAGTAAATACTAAAAACTAAACTGCAAACGCCTGAGCATGAATGCACATGTTAGTTATTCATCTCTAGTAACTATCTTTTAAAATAAATAAATAAACTTCTTCATTTGAGGGTGACACAAAAACAACAATTGTACATGAATAAAACTTTGTCATCACTATAATGAATGGTCTTTCACCCTTCATTCTCAATCAATTACTGATTTAGGAACAGTACACTCTTGTTAAAGTGTTGCCTCAACATTTCATTGTGGAGAACCTGTCTGTAAGAAGTTACTACACGGTGCAACCTCATTCCCATGTATAGGCTCACTACGTAGAGCTTTCACCAATAAAACAATATGTATTTCAGGAAACAAATTGTCACTGGCATGAATTTATCGAATTTGTTCGTGCAGTTATATGCCGCACAACTCTTAACCATCACGAATGAATATTTTCATGACATTAAAATACTATATATATATAT